ATCTCGTTAATTTGTCAGCTTTGATCAAAGTTTGAACGTTTCACGTCATAATTAATTAATTTGTCTCGTTAAAACTTTGTGTTCAGAAAGTTTTAAAAGTTGTTTTAGTCGAAGCGACTCGACATGAACGGACTTTGTGAAACAATGGCATGATCCCCCACACCACCGTCCCTGGATGGGCGTGGGGCTCGAACCTGCGTCCTTTCTGTTGCACAACCGAAGAATGGGGTTGGTTCTGGTCCAAGTGGGCCCAGAGACGCCGTGGCGTGAGCGATGGAGGTCCAGCCTCGTCAGTGTGTGCGTTCATTAGTGAACAGAGGCGGTCTGTTCGGGGGTTTGGACCCGAGGGGCGAGCTCTCATCACTACTAATGAGAACAACACCGCCGACCGCTGAACGCTCCGTCCCTCCTCCTCCTCTGTCCAACACTCGGGTTTCACCGGAGCTGAAACAGCTTCTGAACCACCGTTCATTAACTTCACTCTGATCACACCTGAACCTCTGTGAATCTGAGTCACTTTTATTTTGACCATTATTTATAAAGTTCGTCTCAGTCACAGGACTCATTTACAACAGAGACCTTTTTTAGACTGACAATAAAAATTAAAAGTGTTATATTGTTAGCAGCATGGTCCTTTTAGCAGCATGGTCCTGTTAGCAACATGATCCTGTTAGCAGTGTGGTCTTGTTAGCAGCAAGATTTTTTAGTGTGATCCAGTTAGCAGCGTGGTCCTGTTAGGAGTGTGGTCCTGTTAGCAACATGATCCTGTTAGCAGTGTGGTCTTGTTAGCAGCAAGATTTTTTCGTGTGGTCCTGTTAGTAGCATGGTCCTGTTAGCAGTGTGGTCCTGTTAGCAACATGATCCTGTTAGCAGTGTGGTCCTGTTAGCAGCACAGTCCTTTTAGCAGCGTGGTTCTGCTGTCAGCATGGTCCTGTTAGCAGCGTGGTCTTGTTAGGAGTGTGGTCCTGTTAGCAACATGATCCTGTTAGCAGTGTGGTCTTGTTAGCAGCAAGATTTTTTAGTGTGATCCTGTTAGCAGCATGGTCCTGATAGCAGTGTGGTCCTGTTAGTAGCATGGTCCAGTTAGTAGTGTGGTCCTGTTGTCAGCATGGTCCAGTTAGCAGTGTGGTCCTGTTGTCAGCATGGTCCTGTTAGCAGCGTGGTTCTGTTAGCAACATGATCCTGTTAGCAGTGTGATCTTGTTAGCAACATGATATTTTAGTGTGTTCCTGTTAAAAGCATGGTCCTGTTAGCAGCATGGTCCTGATAGCAGTGTGGTCCTGTTATAAGTGTGTTCCTGTTAGCAGTGTGGTTCTGTAAGCAGTGTGGTCCTGTTAGCAGTGTGGTTCTGTTAGCAGCATGATCCTGTTAGCAATGTTGTCTTGTTAGCAGCAAGATTTTTTAGTGTGGTCCTGTTAGCAGCATGGTCCTGTTAGCAGCATGGTCCTGTTAGCAGCATGGTCCTGTTAGCAGCATGATCCTGATAGCAGTGTGGTCCTGTTAGGAGTGTGATCATGTTAGCAACATGGTACTGATAGCAGCGTGGTCCTGTTAGCAGCGTGGTTCTGTTAGCCACATGATCCTGTTAGCAGTGTGGTCTTGTTAGCAGCGTGGTCCTGTTAGGAGTGTGGTTCTGTTAGCAGTGAGGTTCTGTTAGCAGTGTGGTTTTGTTAGCAGCGTGGTTCTGTTAGCAACATGATCCTGTTAGCAATGTGGTCTTGTTAGCAGCAAGATTTTTTAGTGTGGTCCTGTTGGCAGCATGGTCCTGTTAGTAGCATGGTTCTGATAGCAGCGTGGTCCTGTTAGGAGTGTGGTCCTGTTAGCAACATGGTACTGATAGCAGCGTGGTCCTGTGTGTGGTCCTGTTAGCAGTGTGGTTCTTTTAGCAGTGTGGTCCTGTTAGCAGCGTGGTCCTGTTAGCAGCGTGGTTCTGTTAGCAACATGATCCTGTTAGCAGTGTAGTCTTGTTAGCAGCATGAATTTTAGTGTGATCCTGATAGCAGCATGGTTCTGTTAGCAACATGATCCTGTTAGCAATGTGGTCCTGTTAGCAGTGTGGTCCTGTTGTCAGCATGGTCCTGTTAGCAGTGTGATCTTGTTAGCAACATGATTTTTGGACTTTAACTCTGAACCAGACCCACATCAGAACCAAATGATGGACTTTAACCCTGAACCAGACCCACATCAGAACCAAACGGTGGACCTTAACCCTGAACCAGACCCACATCAGAACCAAACGGTGGGCTTTAACCCTGAACCAGACCCACATCAGAACCAAAGGATGGACTTTAACCCTGAACCAGACCCACATCAGAACCAAACGGTGGACTTTAACCCTGAACCAGAATCAGAACCAAACGGTGGACTTTAACTCTGAACCAGACCCACATCAGAACCAAACAGTGGACTTTAACTCTGAACCAGACCCACGTCAGAACCAAACGGTGGACTTTAACCCTGAACCAGACCCACATTAGAACCAAACGATGGACTTTAACCCTGAACCAGACCCACATCAGAACCAAACGATGGACTTTTACCCTGAACCAGACCCACGTCAGAACCAAACGGTGGACTTTAACCCTGAACCAGACCCACGTCAGAACCAAACGGTGGACTTTAACCCTGAACCAGACCCACGTCAGAACCAAACGGTGGACTTTAACCCTGAACCAGACCCACGTCAGAACCAAACGGTGGACTTTAACCCTGAACCACGGTGACTGTTCCACAGTTTGTAGCTTTCAGGGGTTCCTGCAGCTCCTTTCTCCGACAGTCCGGCCGTCTGGAGGACAAAACGTTTTCCTCCGGCCCTTCACCTTCTTACATCTCTAAATCCCCTTCACTGGTTGCCCGGGCAACGAGACAACGGGACAGGGACGAGACCCGCACCGGTTGCAGACTAGTTGGACTTTCTAATTTAACAAAACTGTGTCTGTGTGGGGGATTCGGACCGGTATCCGTGGCGACCGGACCGTGGCCGGGTCATTGATATGCTGAGCAGCAGCTCTGCAGGAAGAAAAGCCTCCGGAGAACATGGAGGATTCCCAAACACCCCTCAGACCAACGATCTGAGCCCAGAATCACCCAGAACTGATCCTTACTTTTAGTTTAGGTTCTTAAATTAATTCAAAGTATTTCAGAATAATTTATTTAAAACAGAAACCGGTCCCAGACCTGATCCAGAAGCTCCCAGAACATCCTTCCAGTCCTGGCTCTCTGTAGGACTTCACTAGTCTCTCTCCTGGTTCTGGAGGAGTTCTGGTCCACTCTTCTTTCCAGCACTGAAAGTTCTGTTCAGCTTTCTGAAGGTTCTCCACAATCAGTCAGGTTCAGGTTCTGGACTCTGACTGGACTCTTGGTTGTGTTCTTTCTGACCCGGTCTGTGGTGGATCAGATGCTGTGTTCTGGATCATGGTACTGTTGGACCCAGTTTGGTCCAAGCTTCAGCTGTTGGACTCCACAGGAGTTCTGGTCCAGTCAGTGACTGAAGGAGCAGAACCATCAGCCTCCACCGTGCTGACAGCTGAGCTGTTTGCTGCAGTGCATTCTGGGTAAACATCTGTCCTCTGCTCTGGTTCTGGTCCAGAAGTCTTGTGGTTCCTTCAGATGAAAGTTGAGCCGTCTTTAGAGAGAAGAGGTCATGACCTTTGACTGAGGCCTGTAGAGTCACTGCACGGTCTGACCTTCAGGGTGAATCAGCTGTCTGAAATGTGAAGATTGTTTCTGTAGCACGACGGAGTCCAGATGACCTTTGACCCTTCACAGACGGGCGGCAGCGGCTGCTTCTCTGAGATCATTGCTGATGTCTTTCCATTTTGGCATTGTGCTAACTCACCCGTGTGTTCCAGGCAGAGGCTGATCCTGATCCTTCAGCAGCTCCTGATCCCGGGCCTCTGGATCCTGATGGAGCAGCGAGGCTGGAACCAGGTTTTAACCGGTGGTAAATAAAGACTCGGTGTGATACGACGTTTATCTGAACCGGATTTATTCAGATGATGGTTCTGAAGCCTGATTTGTAAAACCCAGAACCAAAACAAACTGGACTCATTGTAAAGAACCGAGTGAAACCACGAGGAGTTGAAATCTGCAAACACCGAATCAAACCGAGAGTTTCCTGGTTTGAACCTGAATCTGTAGATTTTCACTCGGTCTGACGCCAGTTTGTTGTGCTGGTTCTGAGTCTGGTTCTGGCTGCAGAGACAATAAGACACAACCAGCTCGGACACGTGTTGCAATGACATCATCATGTGACGTTTACACACAGCCATGTTTCATCATACAGAGGTCAGTTTTACATCTATCGTCAGAAGAAACTAATTCATTTCATCTAGTCGGACATTGTGTTAAAACTTTAAACTACTACACACTTCAACTTCCTGTTCTTAGAAACCACCTGAGTTCAAGCTCCGCCCACAGCTCCTCCTCCTGGCTCTCCAGCACCTTCTTCATTGTCATCATCGTTTAAAGACGAGTTAGTAGCTTCGTTAGAACTGCACGTTTTACAGAAACGCACCTTCAACACGACGCAGGTTCTGATCTGAACTGGACCGCTGCTGCAGACGGTTCTGTAAAACTGACAATCTGATCCGAACCAGCTGACTCTTCAGGCTTTGTAACGATCCAGGCCGTAGACGGCTCAAAAATACGAGCAGAGGAGGATCGTGCAGATCTGAGGTCTGGACTGTGATGCAGGTCAGAAGCATCTGCAGACGGGAAGAACCTCCACCGGGAACAATTTGCCCGTTACGCTAACCGCTACCGTAAAGATGGAGGTCATGTTTCCGGTGGAGACCCGCCTTCGTCTGCAGCTGGACGTGCTCGGTGCGGTGGATCAGCGCTTTCCCCTTGCAGTGAAGAAGGTGCAGGTTTGAAACTCGGCTGCAGTCTCCATGTTTTCGCAGCGTGCGCGGGTTTTCTCCAAGCCAGTTTCACGCCGCCTCACTGAGGCTTTCAAACCTAAGAACACCACCAGCTGCCCTGCATGGTGGGGGCAGCGTCATGATTGGGTTCAAAGAGGATGGATCTATGATAAGGAGAACAACCTCCAAAAGGTCTGGGTATGATTATGTATGTGTAGTTCTGACCCTTGGAGAAAAGCCAAAATAAATCCAGAGGTGTTTTTAAATTTCTCACTTAAACTTTAAAAGGCCTGAAACAATCTGACATCAGAACCACCAACCTTCCATCAAACTCTTCTTTTCCCAGCAGCATCTCGTCCCAGCAGAAGACCTCCAACGTTCTCCTCCGACCTAATCATTTACAGAAACTAATCGTCTAATTTAGCTTAATTTACTTTTTGTAAGAACGAATAAACCACACAGCTTCAGTCTACAGAGGGAAGAGTCCGATCAGAGTCCAGAACTCGGTTCCTGCTGTCGGAAAAGACATTGAGAAGGTGGAGACAGAAAGAAAAATGAACACAAGAGCTTGTTGAGGGAAGGAGGAGAGAAAGGATGGAGAGATGATGTAAAGAGAGGAGCTGTAGCGTTCAGAGAACAGCAACATGAGTTAACGCAGACCAGTGGACCAGGAGCAGGTTGGTCTATAGACTGCTGGAGGAAGACAGACTCCTGACTCTAGCTTGAGATGGACAAGATAGCTGATGTGTCTTTAGCTTTGTCAAAGAAGGTGGACGCCTCATTAGATGCCTTCAGCTTGATGTGGGTGGAGCCTGGCGAGCCTTGGGCTGCAGTTGGTTGGCACTCTTGACAGCAGCAGCAGCAGCAGTCCATGAAGGCCTGACCGAGGGCCTGAAACACAACGAGACACATTTTAAACGTTCAGTGATAACATAAGGTTCTACAGTCATGTTTAACTCCTGATCCAGTCATGTTTAACTCCCGATCTAGTCTTGTTTAACTCTTGATCCAGTCCTGTTTAACTCCAGATTAAATCCTGTTTAACCCCTGATCCAGTCCTGTTTAACTCCTGATCCAGTCTTGTTTAACTCTTGATCCAGTCCTGTTTAACTCCTGATCCAGTCCTGTTTAACCCCTGATCCAGTCATGTTTAACTCCAGATCTAGTCTTGTTTAACTCTTGATCCAGTCCTGTTTAACTCCAGATCTAGTCTTGTTTAACTCCAGATTAAATCCTGTTTAACCCCTGATCCAGTCCGGT